TTTCTTGTAGCCGTTCTTTTTACTGTCTTTGCGATGCCGCAGGAAGATTCCGGTTTAATAAATATTAAAGAGCCTTGTTTGGCCATTGTATGTGCTTTTTTATTGCCCTTATGACTATCGTGCCCTGGTATCCAGAATACCGAAACCTGGCTATAGTCTTCTAATTTATTTGGGTCACCCATACAATTCCGTACTAGCTTATAATTCACCTCTACAGAATTAAGTGTCTTAAGCGCTGCCTGTGTGTGCAGCCTGTGTGTACAGTTTCGATGTTTTTGAGCCATCAGTGTATTAAGTAGCTTTCGCTTGGATAGGTTTCCCTTCCAGTTTTCGCTGACTGGTATATTAATTTTGAATTTATTGTCAAAGCTGTTGCTTCGATAGGTTACCCCATTACGATATCTGCTTTTAGCTCCTTCATTAGCTTTGTATTTCCTATACTACGCGCCTGACTGATATGTTGCTGACTATGTATTAATCTGTGCATCACAGATCTGGTCTCGTCCTGTATAAAGATATGAATTAGTGGGAGATTTAGCAAAAAGGCACGAACTATAACTGATGCTATCTGCAAGAGATTTAAAACCAATGTGGATCTATAAGGAAATATTTGTAAAACACGAAAGACGAAAATAGAACATTTCGATGATGCTACCTGAAATAAAAGATCTAATTATTTCAATTAATACTTGAAAAATAATATCGTCGCTAAATAATTTGTATCAGTAGTATGTAGATGGTGAAATTATTTTCCATATTCTAGAAGGATATGGCATTTGAAGAAAAGCAATATAGAAAACAAAAGATGAACTAATGAAAATAACAATAAGAATAGATATGGATACTATTAGATATAGTTCGGAAACTATCTTCTTGTGGCATGTTTTTCACTGAATATTTTATCATCATCATCAACAGCATTTGCGTGTTAGGCCTTGTAGCCTGTTCCGGTCGTCCATTCCACCTCTTCTTGAATCTTCCTCTCTTAAAACATTTTTCCCTTTCGATTTGTAGTTTTATGCTAGTTTTCGACCTCATTCATTCTGTCCAGATGGTCTGTCCAGTCTTTTTTTGGTTTAGACTTATCGTCATACAGCCAGACACAAAAGAATTAGACAGTGTCTATCATATCTGTCCAGTTGTTTCGCAAATTCTGCAATTTTGTCAGTAACGGCGAATATCTTCAACTCTTGTCTATGTACGTTTGTTATTCGATTACCACTCGTATATACTCTAACACTTCGCATAAATCTTATCTGGTAATTGGTAATTGGTAGCCTGGAATTTACTTTCACTTTTTTTTGTTTAGGGTATCGGAGAAGCCTCAGAGAGCTGATAACACTGTAGCCTTGGCACGGTATGAGTCACGGACGTGCCTTAAAGCATTTTGTTCCAATTTGTGGAGATAAAATAGATACGGGACGAAAGGAAAGAGAAATTGATCAGAGAATAATTTATAAATGAGCTACAGATGTATAAGGGAAACAAGAAGAGAGGCGACTTTGATCGCGGAGTTTGTCTCTACTCCACATAAGCCTCAATAACTTTAATCAGAATCTTATAAGTAAACCTTCAGTGGAGAAAGGTAGCATCTGCAGAACCTACTCTTATCTTATACAGATATCTACTTATTTCAGATATTGAAATTTTTATTGTCTTCGTGATCCAAGAGACCTGGATATACTGGAGATAAATAAAAGATTTCTCTGGCGTTTCTCACACTGAACTCAGTGCTTTTCTTGGAAAAATCACGGAGTTTACTGTTAGAACCAATCGTTTATATTAGTAATTAAAAGATATAAAATAAGCAAAGTGGCTGCAGTAGAACTGGTGTAAAACACACCGCTTCCAGAGAAAGAAAAAACTAGCGAAGCATAAAAAAGTAACTATATTATGGGTGCCAGGGCAAAACAGAAATTACTGGTAACGAGATTTCTAATAGCCTTGCTAAAAAAGCAGCTGGTACTCCTTTTATGGGATCAGAACTTACAACTCACAGTATAACCGGCTGTAAAAACACAAAATACAATACGGGATTTTGCAGAATATGTCCATTTTAAAATTGTAATATTTGAGTCAGCAGTATTCATTGAGAAAATCTTAGATTACTTTGAGTTGAAAACTGAACTTAGAGTAATCTTAGATGTTTTCACCGAACACTGACTATGTCTTAGAAATGAAAAAAGACTTGGTACAGTACTATTTGGAAATGGACAGAAGATATTATGCTCTAATAGTTGCAGACATTCAGAGATTAGCATACCCCCTTGGTATCAGAAATAACTTTTCCCATCTCTTTTTGAAAAGAGATAGTAATATCCGTAAAAAGTGGCTTTCATATTTCCTCAGACGGCATCCCAATTTATCTGTAAGGAAAAAAGTGTTAGGTTTCAGCCCAGAAAATAATAACCGTTATTTTGATATCCTAGAACCAGCTATGGAGCAGATAAATTTCGACCCACTAAAGATTGTATAATGTTGACGAAACATGTATCATCACCGTACAATCCAAGATTTCTAGGATCGTCACCCTAAAAAAAAAAGAAGTAGGAGCCGTAACTACTGCACAAAGAGGGGCACTAGTAACTGTAGTGACATGCTGCAGGAGGATTCGTTCCTCAGACTTATTAGATCTAGCTCCAGCTAGGTCAATTATTGATTGTCACCCATCAGGATGGATACAGAGCCACATCTTTACGCGATGGATCATTTTATCAATCATGTAAAAACGTCAGAAGAAGATCCCGTGTTACTCATTCTTAGAGGTCATTATAGCCATACACGTAATCTGGACGTTATAGACTTGGCTAGAAAAAAATTATATTTCTATTGTATGTATCCCTCCCATCGAGCAAAAAGATAAAAGAGGGAATCTAATCGTTATGAAAAGGAGACCAAAAAAGTGGCCTCTGATGGCGGACATATCCGGAAATGCAAAGGCGCTAAATTTAAATTTTCCAACACTTGTTAACAATACCTGTAAAATATTTTTCAGACAAGAAAGTTTTAATTAAATATTAACGATAATAGTCTAAAAAGTGACATAATTGGTAAATAAACTTCAATATAAATAAAATTTCATGTGACAGTTGGGACAAACAATGACATAACCAAACTAAATTTGACTTCTTAAACAAGGAAAGAGACTGTCTTTCCTTGTTTAAAGTGGCCTCTCAAGATAGCACTTCCTGTCTAACAATATTTTTGTCCCCACTACCTTTACATTCCCTCTTTTATCTTTTTGCTCGATGATCCCTCCACATACGTCACATAAAATCCAACTGTTAGATTTGTATTTTATGTCTCCATTAAAGACGTACCATTCAGTTAAGAGAAATCCAAAATTGGTTAAAGACTAATCGTTGTCGTAATGTACGATCCTATAAAATATGCTCGTAATTCTGCTCTGCTTATGAGAACTCTGCCTCGACATCATAATTCGCCATTCTGAACCTCGACATCATACTTCAAGATAATGCCATTCGCACACCACTAGCTCAATTCAACTGTCTATTGAAAAAACCTTTCCAAACAGCAAATGGGTAGCAGTGTAAAAATTAATCAGATACAAACAAAGTAAAAGTTTAAGACTTTTCACCTTTACCATCCTCCAGTTCATTGATACCTACTTCAAATAGAGGACGTAAAACCAGCTCTGCAAAAAAGCTAGCATTAAAGAAAAATAAAAAAGATAATCCCTTACAAATAAAGAACAGTTGCCAGAATTAAAAGTTTTAAGGAAAACTAAAAAGAAGACGACGGTCAAAAATAAAAAGGTAAAGAAAGTGAATCCTCAGATTCCTCAAATGTTCCTTGTATTTTCTGCAATGAACATTATTTAAAGGACCAACATGGAGAAAAGTGGGTACAGTGTTCAAGTTGCTTCAGATGATCACATGAAGAGTGTGCTGGTAGGAATAAAAAGAACACTTACGTATGCGGTCTTTGTATTGAGAAAAAGGTTCCTCATTTTGGATAGGGTATCCAAAGGAACTTTTTTTTTTAATTTGAAAAAATGTTATTTTTTACTTTTGCCTTTATTTTTTAATTTGAAAAAATGTCATTTTTTACTTTTGCCTAATACTTACACTGTTTAATGATAAAATAAATATTTTAGTATCGATAACTTGTTTTTATTGAGGTTACAGTACATTCTAAATACAAAAAATTATTCTAAAATGTTTTTTGACAAAAAAAATAGAATTAAAAGAATATCCAACATAAGGTGACTTTCCTCTAAATAATTAACCAAAAATACTAAAGATGTATTTGAAAATAATTAGATGTCATAAATCAACGAATTATACCATAGAAAGAAAAATTTGATGATGTATTAGTGTTAGAGCAAACAAGTTATTAAAGAGTACAAATCAATTTGAAATTATTATGTTCATATTTTTAATAAATTAATAATAGTCCAGTGGTAATGACCGATTGTTTTATTAGTTATACAAAACACGAACCCACTTAGCTACTACAGTTAACCAAGTTTTTAATGCATTCTACATTTTACCCATTAATTTTAATTATACTACTCTAGTGTTTAGGATGTTAATCGGTCGTGCAAATAAACACTGAATGAAATTACACTTTAATATACCTATTTCTATGTTGTCAATTGCAAATCATTTACTTCTTAGTCTAAATTTTGTTAAGGTTTGTTTTAATTTTGTTTACTATGTTAAAAATCAGGTACCGTTACAACAGTTATTACAAATGTAGCAAATTGTTAAAGCTATTTTCATTTGCCTTAACCGATTTACTAATTGTTAGTCTGAATTTCCTTAACCTCTTGTGTAAATTTTATAAAATCTACGGTATTAGGTTAAAAACGTTATGAATATCAATTCACTTGGATCCTCAACCAAAATCATCGTCAAACCCAAAACCACCCCTAGTCCTTTTAGTAATAGCACTTATATCCAGTGTTGGCACTCACTAAATAATCACGAAAATCACTTATCACATAACTGTCCTTTTGTGTTAAAAACACTACTTACCAGTTTTACGAACATGTTGCTGATTATTTCAAAAATAGTGTGAAGGAGACAGACAATTATGCGTTATATATACAACCGCACCACACCCTCCTCTAGATATGTAACAGTAACAATATTTTTAATACCGATCCCACACATGGTAGAAGTGAATATAGATTAGAGTATAGAGGGTGATATTATCAATTAGTATCGATTTGACAAAACGTAAATTGCAATATATGTCTATCTCTTCTATCTACTATGCAACAATACCATAGCCTTTAATCAACTTTGATTCGCTATATTTCGCACGCCAGTTCCTTTTATTGTGATACACATTCTGCTATTTTATTGAATCTCTTAAATTTCCTTTCAGTTACCTATTAAATGTTAATTAAGGATTGTTTTCTATTTAATTCTAAATTCTTTTTAACATATACTGCAGCTAATTGGTTTATTGCACATCTTTTATTAACGCACAAGTCCTAGTTCTTTCTTTCCTGCTCAGTTCCTGCTCAGTTTTTTTTCTTATTACAATATTCCTAATAAGGGTATCTTGATTTCCTACCATGTGTGCAACTATCTCTTTTCATCGGCTTTTATTCTGGGCTGCTCTCATGGACTAAGAGAATTTCTGAACAGGCTTTCTGTTTATCGAGTTGGTGAACGATCTCTGCCTTTGTGACCTTAAGATTAAGTCCCAAAAGTATCATTACTTCTTGGAATATGTCCAAAAAACTAGACTCCTGAAAGACAAATAGAAAAAAGTTGAGTCAGAATGTATAATTCTTGAGGATTGAATGATTTATTTTGTACTCTTTTTATGAGATCCGAATCATTTTCCTCAAGCACTTCATCTCGAAGGCGTCAATTATTAATATTTTACGATAATTGTCCATGTTTCGGAACTGAATATAGGAAAAATTAAGACACTTGCCAGTCTCATTTTCGCATTCTTCAACAAAGAGTTCACAGTTTCGATAATCGACTCCTAGTATTTTTGGCCATTCCTAATTTAGTTTGCTTTACGGTGTTGAGGCATGGACTCTTAAACAGAGGAATATTAAAAATCTTGAAAGCTTTGAGATGTGGTGCTACCGCCGTATACTAAAAATAAGTTGGGTGGATAAAATTACAAATGAAGAGGTAATACGCAGAATAAATAACGATTCAGAAGTTATTATGAATATAAAAAAGAGAAAACTTGAATACTTAGGCCACCTGATGAGAGGACAAAAGTACACGTTCCTACAAAATATAATGCAAGGAAAAATCCAAGGACGCAGAAATCCAGGCCGTAGAAGAATGTGCTGGATGAGAAATTTAAGAGAGTGGTTTGGCTGTACCACTAACGAATTGTTCAAAACAGCAGTTAATAAAATTAGAATCGCCATAATGATATCCAATCTCCGATAGAAGAGGCACTCAAAGAAGAAGAATTTAGTTTGACAAGACCCTGCATTACTAATATATGATTTAGATAATTGAACTCGTTAACCATTTGAAGGCTCCGGCTGTAAATGGACTATTGGAAACGATGTTGACAAGAGAAACGTAGACATTAGAAGAGAAACGGAAATTGACCTAGACATAGGCAATATATGCTATCTAAAGACTAAACTGATATGTATACTCGCAGATAATGCCTGAAAATAAATTTCTAAAAATATTTCGACCACTAGAAAAAAACGAGGTAGACTAAGACGATCATGGAGAGATGATGTCGAATATTGAATGACAGCCAGATATTTAAAAACTAAAGATTGCTTCGACAGTAAACAACCAACCAACGTTAGACGTTTCATTTTACCCTGGTAGTATCCAAAAAGCATGAATGCTAAGATTTATTTAGCACAAAGAGAGAATCTGCTACCAGGGTCGCTACTTAGATCGTATTCTTTTTAGTTTAATTAAAAGACTCAAAAGATTCAGCCCTTTTCTTCTTCTGGGCCTTCTTCTCCTCTTTTTTTAGATTTCCAGGCAGCTTTTTGTATTGAATTTCCTTATGATTCTTGTTTCCATTTGAATGAATCAGTTGTTTTTTTCTAATTCTATCTTCAGATTTTTATGACCTCTATTAATTTTTTTATATTCACAATTTGTTTATTGCTTCACATAATTCTGATCTCAGTACTTAATTGTAAGCCTTCCTTAAGTCCACAAACATCATATGTACATTCATTTTTGCATTTTTCTTTTCTAGCAGTAGGTCGGTTGTTCTGATATGTAAATGAGGCCTCTACATGATCTATTCTTTACCGATATTGCTCTTTGTTATTGGCTAACATACAATAAAGTGAAAAATTCTAGTGTAATTTGGTATATAAATTTTTAAAAAATAAGTAAGTTTTCCAAACAGATTACAATTTTATTTTCGGTCTTATCAGATCATCAGCAATGAACACATAGTTATCAACTGAAACTAGCCACTTAAAACTGTAATAAAAAGGTTAATATTATATCTTTTCAAGCTCACAGAGTCTTTAACTCTATTTTTCATTTCCAGTATATATTTTTAGGTTATTTTAGAACTTAATTTACATTTTTTTCTCAACTCGCTTCATTTGTCATCTGTAGATAATTTCAACATTTTTTATTTTGTCCATCGTGATGTAGGATATTGCGGTTTGAGCGAGATAGGTTGTTACCAGCAAATTAAGAGATCAGCAACACGCAAGGTAAAGGCGTATTGTACTGTGCTCAAATCAGCAAGGCAATAACGTGTTTACCAATCACTGTCTACTACAACGATCTACTAAGACACCAGACCACACCTTTTGTACCAGAATGGGTCAAATCAACAAAAATAAAAAAGGGGAACTCCAATCAGAACCTAAAAACCTAGCAAAGGAAGAGTCACCAATCTTGAAACATCACAACAAAATCATCGTTAGAAGTCGATTTGTTTACTCTTATTTGCTTATCCGGAGCTCAAAAAAGAAAGCTAATAAACATGGGAATATTCTTTAACTAGAGTACTCCCAAACACAAAATTACAAATAAAAGCAAAACTGCAACTTCTTTATCAAAAACTTGTCGTGGCGGAAGTTACAAAACTGCTTCAATGGAAACAATAGAGCAAAAAATTTCTGGATAGAATGATATTCGAGAATAACATAGGGCCCATAAAATATGCACTAGTAAAACTGATCGACGGGTACTTTATATGCACCAAGAAAGAGGATTTGACATTACAAAGGATTTAAAAAAAATGGAGTGGATAGTTGTTAACATTGAAAAACTTCCTAAATCTAAAATTTTGATATTGCTAATTAAAATAAACTATTGGTTGCAATCTAAAGGTCATTACTCGGTACGAAAAAAACAAAATAAAGAACTCAGAATGGAGCGAGGGACAACCAGGAACTAGAAGCCTGACGACGATAGAGGACTACATGTGAAAAAGAAGACAAGAATTCCGCCGAAGAATTAAACAGTATTGCATTGGAATCGCTATTATTAAATACATGGCTCTAGATTTATGTTCAATAAAAAAAATCTCCTTATAATAGAGAAAGTAAAGAATAACAGCCTGCGACAGTCATTCCACGTAGAAGATCGAGGGAGAATCCATTCAGATTCCATAGAGAGAGAGAGAGAGAATACCAGGTACTGAAATTGGTACCTACGTCTTTTGTAAGACTGACATGTGTAGTCAGGCGAAATTGTTATACTACTTATACGAAAGCTTGCTTTTATTTAGAGCGCAGGGTTTCTTTGTGGAGCTTAATTAAACGACGAAATTTCGTACCACAGGTATAGCCACAGCTGCCCTCTCCGCGATTCATAACATTTATACATTTATTAATTAAATTCATTTACAATTCATAACTATATATAATTTTTACTAATTAATTTCTAAAAAGGACCGTTTTAGCTCAAAACCCTTTCTGACCACCCTGGGCACCACCTCCTCCGCAGGACTACAGCCACCGACGCGTACCACCAGTGAGCACAATGCAGCGACACAGCCGACACCAAACAAAAGCAAACCATGTCCTGAAGAGGTGTTCCACCTAAAACAGGACAACAAAACCACAAAGGGAAACAAACAACAGAAAAGGAACAACCAGACAACGATGGATTCACGGCTAGTCTTGCTTCGGCTCCCATATAGGATCTCCTGTACCTTGGGAGTCCGTTCTCGGGGCTCCGCTCCTGTTCTTCGAATTGAAACTCGTGGTTGAACAGTTTCCACCTTTCAAAAATGTATTTTATTTCATTAATCATGTGAAAATTACCAATATTCCACCAAAGATGGAACATACGCAGAGGGCATTTCGAATGGACTGGTTGAAGTCCCTCTGTAAGGCACCATGGGAACGGATAAGTGGACTTAGTTTTCTAGGCACTCTCTTCCCATTTGGTGATAGTATGTGACCAAAGTAGCTCATTTTTCTATGCTTCATTATTTCTTTCTTTTTTCAGTATTTCTTTTTCTTTTTTTATCCTCTTAATATTTCGTGTTTGTTACACGGAAAATATCATTGTGTCCATGATTTCACATTATTTGATAAAAACACATCTTAAAGCTGGCAAGTCTTCTTTCAATTGCGTCTACACCTGTCCAGGCTTTAACTCTCTGCATCTCAAGACTTTAGTTCTAAATTATATTCCCACTTTTTCATTGCATAATACTGCTTGTATCTTATTGAAAGCACTTCTGGCCATCTCAATGCAAAACGTCGTTATATTTCAAGGCTCACATTGTTAGTTTAGTTCCTTTAACGCAGATTGTTTAGTCTTCAATCTTGTTCTTACTGACAATCATAATTTTTGTCTTTTTTTGTGTTCAGTGACATTACATACCTCTCACAGTACTGCGTAGTGCTATCAACCAAAATTGGCACCCCTTCTCGGCTCTCCGTAAGGAGTATTGTATCATTTGCATATCTGAGATTAGTCGCTATTGTTCTGTTAATTTATATGACCTAATTGATGTCTTCTTAATTGCAATTGTTGAAATAGTTCTTCTAACTAAGTTTATTATATTATCTAACACAATATTAGGGGGTTACGTGAGTTGAGAGGATTGATAATATTTTATTACTATATCGAGAAA